GAGAGGCAAAACAAATATTTATTTCTATGAAAATGTCTAAAAGATTATTACTGTATTCCGCGGAGGAGCAAACCACATTTGATTGTCTTTTTTTTGGTAAAAGAATGAGTCACACAGCACATAAAAATAGCATATGTCAGGAGTCATAAAGTGATGTGAGGATTTTAGTCGCAATTTACTGATGTGGGAGTTGTCAGGGGAGAGTTGGGCTGTTTCATCCTGATCCTACACTGATTGCAAGGCCATAGGGGAAAATCAGTAAGTGCTCTCCACAGTCTAATCAGGACCAAGCATGGGTTTTTGTCATACAACTCAGCACAGTAAAGAGGTACAGCCTAATGAATAAAGGAATTGTTTCAGCCTACTGAAATTTGTTGATTGCTCCAAAAACACCTCACAGTACAATTAAATCCTGTGTAAATGTGTTATACTGCTCAGATATATCACCAGATGTATGAGTGTGCTGTTGACTCATCTGCACTACTTCTGGTTGGGGGAAATAACAACGATGATGTTGCTGTTGCAGAGTGCTGCTGTGAATGAGCCCAGGGGCCTAGGCAGTGACCTCAATGGAGGCGGCCCAGAGTCAGGAATGCAGAGAATGTTTCATTTCCACAGCAGCACTGGAGACACAGCTGCCCGAGGAAGAGAAGGTGTGACGGAAAATGTTAGATTAGATAGCAAAGTGATATGAATGCTCACATTGATTTAGCTGTTTTTGTGTTAAGCTGCTCATTTTTTTTTGTACAGAAGTCCAGGACCAACAATATTACATTGAAAACATTCAGACAAAAATTTTGATTCAGAAATCCATTTTTCCTTGTTTGAAAATGCATTGCAACTGCCATAATTCATTTCCAAATTAATTTTCAGAGAACTTCAAAGCCAACCACTGCCGGCATTTTTTTTAAATTATGGAACATTTAGTTTAATTTCTGAAATCTGTCAAAGTTTTGGCCTGACCAGTGGGCATGGGACATTAAGACGTCTAGCATGAACCGCAAAAGTCATTGATTCAAACCTGGAACCTTTGTTGCATGTAATTCTCCCTCTATCTCTCCTTATATCCTGTCTTCTCTAATAAAGGCATAAAATGCCCCATTGAATACTACTACTACTACTACTAATAAAAAAAGTGGGTACCATATAATACCCATTTGGTGGAAATTTCTGGATAACCCACAGACCTTGACGTTAACACTTTTCACACGGACCATATTCTATAGTAGAAGGCAGTTCTAATGAAAACCGCAAGGTTTTTGGGTTATTGCTATTCAATTAAAACATTTTTTTTGCAGTCCTTTGAGTACCACAGACAAAATTGCAGTCACATCCATTGGGATTGAAGTTTAGTTTCTCTGCCACTAGATGTAAGGGAGAAAATATATTTTTATTAATTTGTGTAAATTGGCCATCATCCACATGTCTTTACAAAATACATGGTGCTTAGTGATGTAGGGCAGTAGTTCCCAACTAGGTGTTGGGACCCCCACTAGGGGCTAGACTATGCGCTAGACTAGACTAGACTAGACTTGAGTCTTGATTTTAAGGCATATAAGAAAACTTTAACGTTCCCTAAACAGGAAATAAACTGCTCAGAATTCAACCAAAGCACTGGTTTTACACAAACTTCATTGTACAGTTTTGAATTTAATATGAAATATCTCATATCTAAAATATCTCTTAGTCAGGGGTCATCAGTTTAATAAATGATAGAAAAGGGGTCTCTTAAGGAAAAAGTTTGGGAGCCACTGGTGTAATGTACTGTTATGAACTGTAGTAATTACTAGCATGGTAATTGGCAACTTGCGAGCTAACCAAACCAAACCCAACCAAAACACGAACCGCCCTATACAGAGCCAGTGTTTGGTTTGTTCGTTCTGGGTTTCTGCAGAAACATGGTGGTACAATGTGGAGGGGTCCATGGAAGGTGACCAGTGGCATCTGTTATTATTATTATTATTGTTATTATAGTTTTGTGTTTTTCATTAGTTTTTACTTGATTTCATTCTAGAAATTTTGTTGTCAACGTAGTTTAGTTTCATTGAGTTTCCAGAGTGGGTTTGCTTGTTTCAGTTTAGTTTTTAGTTTCAGTGTTAGATTTCATTTTATTTTTTTTATTATAATATGGGGGTATTTGTCAGGGGCAAGATTTAAGAAGTTCATAATAGGTATTACAAAACAAACACACTGACTCTCAGTCATGTACACATCCCAGTCTCAATAAATATAAGTGCACCAATCCCTCCTTGTGTTGACAAATTGGACCAAATTGACTGGAACTAAAAAAAAAAAAAAAAAAATTCTTAAATAGTCTTATTTTAGTTGTAAGTACACATCATTTTAGTTTAGTTTTAGTTAACTACAATAAGCTTGGTCTGCAGATATAATAGCTTATTCTAAGATAACAAAAATATAATGATTCTTATTTCAGGTGATTATACACTAATGAAAACTAAGTTATTCATATTGTATTCCATTTCTACCAATAGATCCACCTAAATGTAAAACACTGGACCTTTAAATTAAATCCGGTACACCACAGTTAATAAGCTATGACAGCTTCCCATGGATGTGTTATAGGAACTAGATACCGGAAGATGGTGCCCAGTCGCCAAGCACAGAAGCCAAAAAAGTTTTTTAGCTTCTGGGTTTGCTTCCGTGTTGTATGGCGACTGCCCGCTTGGCCCGTAGACTTTACACTGACGACATGCAAATATCGTTTTTTGGCTCTGACAAAGATATTTTACAAATATAAAACTTCAATGGATTAAAAATACTACTAATAATACCTGACCGTGTTTGCAGTTTGTGTTCAGTCAAAAATTTTACCTATATATCTTTTATAATGGTGGTGTACAGGGAAAATGCTTTAATACCTTGAATGACCACTGGGATATATTACCAAGGCAGAGTGGCAGCAAGTGGATTTACTTTGCTCCCACAAGCAAACTGACGAATCACAGTGATTTTATTAAAATTAATTGATTTTGCTGGAACATTTAAGCATGTGAAATGCTGGTGTAACTAGACCTTTAGGAGACGAACTGATTGAAATCCTCTAATTGCAGTAATTATGTTACTAATTGAACAGATGTCCACAGGTTCTCATGTCAAATTGTTCAAACTGAATAATTTCAGTTTAATGTTGTCAGTCCCAGACTTCCAAAATTCAAATCATCCAACCTTGAATCATGTGGGCCCCCTTTGAGTCAAGCAGTAATGAATGTAACAAAGACGAGCGGAGCCTTTTGAAAACGTTATTTAGTTATTTAATCATTCACGGATGACAAGAGAATAGAATAAAAGAAGCCCCGTTAGCATATGCAAAAAGAAAATTGAGGCAAATCCCAATCAGATCAAGAGGGCTCAGTCAGATTCAATTAAAATGAAAAGGCAGGAAAACAGTTATTGTGTGTCGTAACCTTGTACTGTTACTGTTTCCATAAAGATTATAGACGCAATGAAAACCGTAGTGGTGTCAGCTTGTATAACAGAGGACAGGCCACGGCGTTTATTTAGTTTCATATATTTTGCATGCACAGAGCTGTGAAATGAGCACACAGCAAGAGAGCAGAGAGACATCTGAATGAGGGAGCACTTCTGTTGTACATGTAGAAATACAGTCTAGTGAACACAGCGCTGTGTCATGCCTGAACAAGATCTCTCGTTCTCCAGCAAAGTCTAATTTTCTGACACTGGCTGGTTATTTTTAACATTGTAATTATTATTATTATTATTTTGTGCAAGAAATTGACAAAAGTGCCCACTAGTACGATCTAGACCTGTGCCACAAATTGCTGGGTGTGTGGTAAATAAATAAAATTATCGTATTTATGCCTTTATATAATCATTTTGACTAAAACCGTTTTTTGTATCAGGACATAAACATGTTTATTCCTGCTGTAAAGTTGGGCATTTTATTATTGGGCCTTATGGAGACTGACTCATGCTTTCATGTTGGCTTAATTTGCTCGCCACGGAGGTTGCCCCTTGGTTAAATGCACTAGGATTTCTGTAATCTGCATTGCTACTTGCCTATCTTTTGCTGGTTCATTGCTACGTTTCTTAGCACATTACTGCCACCTGTAGATCAGTAGAATAGTGTTGTTGGTACCAATGTGTATTTCGTCAAATGCATAAAAAATAAAATAAAATCAGGGACCCACTCATGAAAACAATACTTCATAACGCTACTAGTGGACAAAAACTCCACAGTAAAATCTACAGCAAAATTTTGTATGAAGGCACGGAGGGTCAGAGCTAGCGGCAATCATGATCAATGATCAATGATCAAATGATCAATATTGATTTGATCATTTGTTTTCACATGAATAATGTTAACTTCCAGCAATTAATTATCGCATGAATATCTCTAAATGATTATTTGGTCGCTAGATGAAAGGGTAACCTGGTCTCTAGTATCATACCAAAGATTGGTCACATTGGTGGCTGAATATCTACCCACAGCCCACTAACATTAGCCTCTAAATGTCAATGGTGCTGTTCAAGCAATGTGCACATTAGCAGAGCATACTTGCTGATACATAGACGTATCGTATCAAATAGCTCAGGTTAAATATCAGAAAACATTTACTGATGGAGCCAACCCGACAGATAGCTGATAACCTGTCAATGACTGTTGCTAAAGTTGAATGCCAATCTTTAAAAACACATTTTCTTCCTTCTATATCTATACATGGCAATGATGTATATGCATGATGGTCAAGGTTAGGGAAAGCTCATGGGGAAGTCAAAAAACTAGACTAGATCACCTGTGCTACACACCTAGGGCTGGGTAACATTCAAAAATATTTGATACCAGTCCGATACAATGTCTTGACTTTCATGCTGGTTCCTGAACAATACTTTTTTCAGTTCCAATTTTATAATTAATTTTAACATTGTACATTACGGTACAATCACCCACTTCAAACGAGGAAGCTGTTTATAACATAGTGGATCAGCATTTGACAAAGGAGGACCCAGGGCTTCAATAGTAGGTTTCTTGTGGCTTTAATCAAACATTTCAGGCAGCACAGACATAACACACACATGCCACCAGGGGGCCTCTACCTATACCTTTCCTGCCAGGTAACACACACTTGGATTCCCAAGAGCTCCCTCTAGGGTAATACCAAATATTAGCAATCTCAGGATATTACATCCCTCCCCTCTCAGGTCTGCAGCCATCCCTTAACTGAAAGTAAAATTAAATTACATTATACATGTTCCTCACTTAAATCTTAGTTCCTCAAAATTATAATAACATACAGTGTATATTTTTTCTTCACTTTTACAACTTAGCCTTTAATTCCCTCTAAGAATTTTAGTAACTGAAATTAATTAACCAATACATTCTCCGTCTGTTAGCCATACATTTATGGTCTATAATAGTCTGGAGGACGCCTCTCTCTAGTAGAGCGTCTCAAGCTTGGTGTTTGTGGTTCCTGCACTACAGGACTAGGCGCACTCTCCAGCTTAGGTAGACCACTCTCAGAGTTCTTCACAGGGGTTGTTGGACAGACAGATACAGAGGACGGTACTTGTTCTGGCACCACAGTTGGTGGGTTAGTCACAACCTGGGGTGTACTGGGATCTAGTTCAGGAAGTCTGCTTAGCTCCCTCCTCCTGATCTGATCAACATGTCTCTTCAAAACCTGTCCATTCTCGGTGAGAACGGTATATGACAGTGGACCTGTGCAGCTCTCAATGGTTCCAGGGATCCATTTGGGACCGTATCCATAGTTCTTTGTAAAAACTAGATTTCCTGGATTAAAACATCTGAGTTTGATAGTCTTATCAGGATGAGCTTTTTGTTTCCATTGTTTCTTTTCCATCTTGGTTTTCAAGTCTGGGAGTAACAAATCAAACATGGACCGGGGCCTCCTGGGCATGAGCATCTCTGCCGGGGACAAACCTGTGGTAGAGTGTGGAGTGATTCTGTAACTAAACAGGAATCTCGACACTTTAGTTTCCAAGCTCTCCTTTCCTCCTTGCATCCTCTTCATCCCCTCCTTAAAAGGTCTGAACTGCTCTTTCGGCCAACCCATTAGACGAAGGATGAAAAGGGGCAGAAGTCACATGTTTTATACCATTTTTGGACATGAAATCTGCAAACTCAGCACTTGTAAAGCAGGTAGCATTATCACTCACCAACATTTTTGGTAATCCATGGATACTGAAGCTTTGTCTGAGTTTCTCAAGGGTAACATGAGTGGTTGCTGTTTTTAATGAATATACATCCATCCACTTAGAATGTGAGTCAACCAGCACCAAAAACATTTTGCCTAAAAAGGGACCCGCATAATCCATGTGAAGTCGAGTCCATGGCTTCTCCGGCCATTCCCATGGATGTAATGGTGCTGTAGTAGGGGACTTGCTGTGTCATTGACAGGCTTCACACTGGTGTACTTCACTTTCTACATCCTGATCCATCCGAGGCCACCAAACATATGACCTTGCCAAACCTTTCATCCTAGACATTCCTGGATGGGACTGATGCAGCAACTTCAGCAACATTTTTCTTCCTTGCTGAGGAATAATGACCCGAGCACCCCACAGCACACATCCATCTCGAACACTTAATGCTAAGCGTCGGGTAAAATAAGGCATGAATTGAGGCTGTACTGCAGCGGGCCATCCTCTTAACACAAACTCATGTACATGCGACAGTGTTACATCTTTGGCTGTCCATTGTCTTACTTGTTCTGTGGATACAGGTGCATCATCCATCACATCCAGCATCAGCACTAGCTCCTCCTCCCCTCCTACAGCAGGGCGTGCCTCTGGCAAGGGAAGCCTACTGAGGGCATCTGCATTCGCATTTTGTTTTCCTGGCCTGTACACTATATGATACTCATAAGCTCTGAGCCAGACAGCCCACCGCTGAACCCGTGGTGAAACCATCTGAGGTACAGGTTAAGTGTCATTGAACAGTGAAATCAGGGGCTTGTGATCTGTTACAATTGTAAAGTTCCTGCCATAGAGGTATTTGTGGAACCTTTTTATACCAAAAATCACAGCCAAACCTTCTTTATCCAGCTGCGAATACTTTCCCTCCGCTGATGTCAAGGTTCGGGAGACAAATCCGATTGGTTTTTCTGTTCCATTGTCCAACCTGTGAGACAGCACAGCTCCCACGCCGTATGGTGAGGCATCACATGCTAATATTAAATCTTTGTCTCTTGAATAGTGCACTAATATGTTTGCTGATTTTAATAAGTCTTTAGACTTTAGGAAAGCTTCATTTTGACTCTCACTCCATTCCCAGCTTACATTCTTCTTCAACAGATAGTATAAAGGGGCAAGCAATGTGGAAAGATTGGGAAGGAAGCGATTATAATAGTTCAATAAGCCTAAGTAAGCTTTAAGCTCTGTCACACTAGTTGGTGTGGGGGCATCAACAACAGCTTTTACCTTGTTTTCCACAGTGTGAACTCCTTTAGCATCCACTTTGTATCCAAGGTACTGAACTTCATCAGCCAGCAAGGTGCATTTGGTTCTTTTTAGCCTGAGACCAGCATCTTCCAACCTGGTTAACACCTCATCCAGGTTCCTGAGGTGCATCTCTCTAGTTGCCCCGGTAACCAAAATATCATCCAAATAAACAGCAACTTGGGGTATTCCCTGAAGGACCCCCTCCATGGTTCTTTGGAAGATCGCGGGAGCAGAGGACACACCAAATGGTAGTCTGCTATATGTAAACATGCCACGGTGAGTGTTCACAGTTAGATAATTCTTAGACTGCTCATCCATTTGGATTTGTTGATATGCATGACTCATGTCAAGTTTAGTGAACTGCTGTCCTCTGGCTAACACAGACAGCAAATCCTCCACTTTGGGTATGGGGTACTGTTCTAGGGTGGAGACTCTATTAACAGTTAATTTATAATCTCCACAAAGTCTACAGTCTCCGTCTGGCTTGAGTAAGGGAACAACAGGAGCAGCCCAGTCCGAATATTTAACTGGAGTGATGATATCCTCTTTGATCAACCTTTCAATCTCAGCATCAACTTTAGGCTTCATAGCATAGGGAACAGACCTGGGTCTATAGAAGCGGGGAGTAGCATCAGCAGGCACTTGAATAGTGGCTTTAAACCCTTTTAAGGTCCCCAGTTCCTTTTTAAACACTTCCTCATGCTTTGTGAGGACTTGCTGTAGGGTCAGGGATTGTGGGTGGTTTGTAATGTGCTGCACGTGGCTTTTGATTTCGGCCCAGTCTAGTTTAACATGCTTCAACCACCATCTTCCCAATAAATTTGGACCTCTGCCTTTAACTACTATAATGGGCAGTATCTTTTCCTGCATTTTGTAGTTAACTCTCACATAAGTCTTTCCGAGCACCTTTATCCTTTGTTTATTATATGTTCTCATTACAGGATGGATGTGTGCTGTGGGGTGCTCGGGTCATTATTCCTTTTTGAAACGACAGTCTGTGGGTGCATACTTCCCCTTGCAGCGGTAACACTCTTTGTCAATTTGTACCTTTCCATAGCTCTTTGATTCACCACTTTTCATTGCATTACATGACATAGCTCCCACTTTCATTTGCAAATCCTGCACATTTTTATTTGCAGATTTCCATAACTTGGGCTAGAGACAAGGCACTTTCAAATGTGAGAGCAGTCTCTGATAGTAATCTTCTCTGGATTCTGTCATCATTTATCCCACACACCAGCCTGTCCCGTAACATTTGTGACAATGTCCCTCCATAATTACAGTCCTGGGATAGTTTCCTTAATTCAGCCACATATTCAGCAACAGATTCTGTGGGTTTTATCATACGTGAATCAAATTTAAATCTCTGGATGATTTCACTTGGCTTGGGATTAAAGTGGTTTTTCAGTAATGCTTCCAACTGTGCAAAAGTCTTTTCTCCAGGTTTTGCAGGACTTAGGAGGTTTCTCATCAAACTGTAGGTTTGTGCCCCCACCACACTGAGCAATATGGATTTCTTTTTATCTTCATCATCAACAATCATTTGCAATAAAAAAGTGTTCCATAACTTCACAGTATTCCTCCCAAGTTTGCATATTGCGATCAAATGGTGGCAGTGTCCCTATTGTTGCCATCTCACCCACATGTGTCCTCCTCCCTTCACCAAGTCCTTTGTTCTCAGGGAGTCTTCAAACAATCAGCCAAGTCCACTCTCTGTGCTCCTGCCTCGGTGCAGCATATCTCCAAAGTATCCTCGTCGCCAATATAACATAGTGGATCAACATTTGACAAAGGAGGACCCAGGGCTTCAATAGTAGGTTTCTTGTGGCTTTAATCAAACATTTCAGGCAGCACAGACATAACACACATATGCCACCAGGGGGCCTCTACCTATACCTTTCCTATGCCTTACCTGGCAGGTAACTTCCTGCCAGGTAACACACACTTGGATTCCAAAGAGCTCCCTCTAGGGTAATACCAAATATTAGCAATCTCAGGATATTACACTGTTCAAAGACCGGGAACAGCTTGCGGTTTTAACTCAACCTGAATAACTGGACTAAAATGATGAACTAAAAATTTAACACTATATAAAAACTATAAACGACAGTCTAAAGAACACTAATAACAAACAGTATGGCAGCAATATGCTTAGACCTCTTACTGTCTCTGCTAAAGACCAGCTGTTTCTCTACCTTTACTTGTCGCTCTGTAAATGACACCATGCTGTCAGGATCTTTTTCTGCAGTGGCATTGAATGTTGGCATTGGGCGTAGATCCTAGAAATACTGGGCTGCTTGAAAAGCCTATATTCTTGCTGATAGATCTAGCCCCTGATTCACTGATAGTGACAAATGTGCAGCCTGTCAGGGGAAATGAGTGGCCAACAGGAGCCTTACCTTATCCCTCCCTGGAAATGGATACTTACTTTTTATCTGAAATAGTAGCTAAGCTTGGCAACACAGACGCCTAGTGTGGTACTGGTTTGGGAGATGATCTGACGTGACTCAGTAAGAAGCTCAGCAATAGACTACAATCACTGATGAAATAACGTCATTATATGTGTGAAAAATGGCTGATTGTACAATATCAGTTTTTTTTTAATTAAAGGCCAATATTAATCTATGTTCTAAGTCAACCTTGTTTGTGTACATAGACAGAGACAAGTTGTTTCTCCCAACATGACCCTGGAGAACAAAATGTCTCACACAAACTAAGAACACACACAGCCTCCTGATAAGGCTTTGGGTCTGTGTGTAAAAACACTCATTACTCCACTCTATTACTCCTCCAGCTCCAAAACAAATTCCTGTAAATCTTGTGTCATGAGAACACTTTAATGGAAAACAAGTACACAGCATGAACTCAGCAGAGCAGAAACACACTCAGATGGCCCTGCCTGAGGAAAGTGTCATCTTTTAGACACTTTTTTTTACTAAAATGAATATTTTATTATCTTTGTCTTATTATTCTTGTTTCTTTTATTTTGTCCTGAAAGAATTTGTTCTCTTTGTGCCTTCCTCTAAAACATGTTCTAAATTCTTGCTTATGGTATTTAGTGTTCAAACTCTATTAAGTGATATTTTTGGCCTCTTGGGGGCAGCAGGACAAATTGTAAGACAACACTGACACAGCACACAATTACCTTACCTTACCTTTACACATCTAGCAGACAGAGCAACATCAGCTTTCATTTGGCGCCATATTTCTTGCACCTCTTTACTCCTTCTTCCTTCTAACTCTGTTTTGGTCTCCACCAACTCCTGAGAACAATATCTGGCTGCTAAATACTCCACTATGTTCACAAGCTAGTCTCTAATGTTAATCCATAACTTCTCTCAATGAAAATAAATTTCAAGTCCACTTCCGCAGAGTCCTCCATGGTGAAAAGCCATATTTCTACCAGAACCATTGACAGTATATATAGTGGACAGAGCTTCCAGGTCTGTGAAGTGAAGCCAATGCGGATGAGGCTTAAACGTTCATTCTATGTAATAACCAGCAGGGAGCTCCACTGGCTACAAAAAAGTCTGGTAGTATTGAGCCTTACGGTGAAATTACCCTACGTCTCATTACATTTTTTAGCTCACTGAACAGTTTCCTAATGAGTTTATGGTCTCCATCGCTCTTAGACAACTGAGAAAGGTGCTGGCTAGAGACTGTCACTATGAAAATACAGTAGGAGGAGAACTTAAAGGGTCAGTTCAGCACATTACAAAAAAGAAAAACGGGCAAAGTTCAACCACTCAGATCAACAAACCATATAACACAGTCAAACTCTTATTGAAGCCAGTCGGAAGAAGAGCAAAAACATCTTTTCCATTGAGAAAAGTGCCGCTCTTTGCTCTTCTCTCCAGTTCAGATATAATTGCTGTGTCAATGTCTTGCTATGTCACACCTAAGACCCAACCCCATAGTTGCCAGTAAATCAATTTTTTTCTTGTTTAAATGAAAATGAAAACTCAATAGCCAAATCATTTTTAATGATCTTCAAAGCCCACCATCAACTGAACCTAAAAATGTTCGATGAATGAATGAGAAAGCCTACATTTTCATTTGAATTATGGAAGCATTTTTTAAATCTGTTGAGTTTTTAGCTAAATGCAAACATTAGCATTGTGTAACATTGTGTATGACTGTAAAGACTAGAGACAGCAACATCATAGACTGATATCTCAAAACTGCTAATACTGAAAACAACAAAATCTACAAAACTAGATACCACAAGAGGAAAAGGGAAATTTCATAAATGGTGAACTGACCCTTTATTCTGTTTATTTTAGCATGGTGGTAATGAAGAGAGGACAGCTGCCATGACGCAAGGAAATCACAAGCTGAACATAATGAAACCACACTGATCTTGAGACCCACAGCAACCACATCATTGCATGGCTGTAAAACTGTTACGCACAGTTACGCATTTTAAAAAATACGACTCACTCAGAGTGCCCTTTTAGGTCTACAGTCACATTACCCATGCTGCTTCACGCAGGTCTTTGTTTGATCTCCACATAGGGGCATATGGGGACTGAGAGACTTGATGGCTGACTAGCTGACTCTGAAAGGAGGACTTCAACTTACATTTTCATACACATTATCTGTGGCAGCATGTTTAATTCTTTTTTAATTAATATTTTCATGTAATATTTTGATTGGACTCTCCCTCAAATTATAAAGAGAAAGAAAGGAAAGAGAAAAAAACAACAACACTGTCCTCTCTAGTACCTCGAAACGATGTAATCACAGCAGAGCATTAAAGTACAGCAGTACTGCAATCTGTAAATGGTCTTTGATGATGTGCAGTAGCCTTGTTCATGGCATACAATGGCTACAGCTGCCTCATCAACTATACACTTGTCACCTAAGCACAAGCTTTGTGCAACCAAATGTTTGCACCTCACCACTTTAACCTGGATAACGGACAAACCAAGCACTGATGGAACAGGTCAAAGGAACCCATGCCTTTAATTCCTTTTACTCTTGCTCAACAAAGACTGGAAAATACTATCAAATTGTTTATTTAAACCAGTATGAATATTACTAGTATAAAAAATAATATATCAATTCTGGATAAAGGAATGTAAATATTTAAGGAATATTCAGACTTCAGATTGCTTCAAAGGTAGCATTTTTTTTTTTTTCGTCTCTCTGTTTATCATGCCGGTAAATCTGAATGAATTATACTTTGGTGGCCATTGGTAAAATGAACTGAATGATTGAAATGTTGGTGAATCTAACCTATCTGACCATGGGTAGTGGTTAAAACCTTATTGAGACCTGCCTCTAGTTGTCAAAACGTGTAGCCACACCAGGCTAGGTGTCTAACTGTGACACTGCTTTTTTAGAAGTTTTATGGTACATGGTAGGTGTAGCTGCAGCAGTGGTGGAAAGTAACTAGGCTCATTTACTCACGTACTGTACTAAAGCACAATATTGAGGTACTTATACTTTACTTGAACATAATAGTGTGGGGACTTTCAGTGCATTTTTTTGAATATGTGAAGGGTGTAAGGGGGCATGTTCAAGCTAAAACAGGTTGTCAAGCTGTCCTGAAAGGCTTCAAACCATCCAGAGATTCTTCCTTGAAAGCCAAGGTCTAACAGTGCCTCTGTTTGCATCTTACTGTCTCGAGTTGAAAACCTACTGAATGAGGAAAAGCCTCCTGGGGAGTTGAGAGACTTACTGAAGGCTCAGCATCCAGAGACTGCGATATGCACCTGCACCTGATTGTTTTCTGCAAGATTTTTGGGACTTCATTTCTCATGTGGTGTGGATCACGTTCCACCATGTAACCCATTTTCTGTGGAAAATAGTGTGGAGAGACAGGGGGGCTGATAAATGTCAAGGATGCAGCGTTGATCAAATCCACCTTCAGTCAGTTTACCCAACTTCTTTGCAGGAATAATCCGTCCACCTTTTTAGGCTGACATAAACCTTTATAGCGTCAATTCATACTGTACATTATGGCAAACAGCATCAGATTGATGCTATTGCTTAAACTGTAATTGATTGTTTTTTTATTTGGTGGTTGCTTTTTATAAAGATAATGACTAACTGGACATTATGGTTTACTCCTCTTTAATTTAATGCTACATCCCTGCTTAGTGCAATAATCTAAAATGAACCTTTAACATGCTCCTTTCTCCCCTCTATAGTCCTTTCCTCTCTCTCCCTCTGTCTCCATTTGTGTCGGTGATCGGATGTAATTGGTTTTGATCCACGGTGAGTCGATGGCTTGAATCTGCTGTGCAGGGACCAGTCAGTTTGTCTGAATGCTGACCCAGAGTAAGTTGTGATTAGGTCCAGAGCACTGCTGTGTAGTCGTGCAGCGAATACATAACACACATCCAAACATACACTATTCACTATATACAGCATCTACCCACCACTCGACAAATTTCGTTCCACTGCCTAGGGACACTGTAACTCACTGTTATCCTCCTCTTCACTCTGTTTCCTTTACTGCGTGGTGTTTGCAGTTATAATCTGGTTCAGGAGCCTTTTATTGTGGTCATAAAAATATCAGTCAGTACTGGTGTGGCAACATTATGAAGCATGCACACGCACACATGTGCGCTTACTTGTGTCAATATGAGGAATTTCCATACATATGTTTTCTAAGTAGTGTGTAGTATCAGCTATAAGCCTGCTGCTCACAGTGTAGAAATACACTCAATCACAGTCACAAGCAATTCTACTGCACACATCAAACTGTGCAGCTGACATTGCATCAATAATAATTCAAAGGTCCATTGCACATGTGCAAGAATACTACAAAGAGAAGACAGCAGTAAGAAAAGACTAAAACTGAAGCTTTACAAATATCATAGCATTAAATTACATCTAGAATGAAGCCAAACAGACTTGCCATAATAATACCAATATTAATTTACTACCTATACTGTATAATGTTGGACCTGTTTGCTAAGCTAAGAGGCTGAAAATAGTAAACAC